TCTGAAATCTGGACGTCACGCATGAGTCGCACCAACTCGAGGATCGGGTGCACAGAGTTGGGCACTCCGTGGTCGGGCCACGTCTGGTAGTGGAACTGACAGACCGTGCGCTCTATGGAGTCGGCTTTCACTTTGAGAGTGCGGACCAGAAAGTCGGGGCACACCTGACGCCACTTCACTAATTGCACTGATATTACGACAACACATGCATTGAGTACAAGACATTCATGAGGGATGAGTGACATGACATACCAGTGATGTTGCCGTACTGTTGGGGGTCATCGTTGTCCTGAGGCCAGTAGGACTCGCACTTGTATTTGCCGGACTCCCTCTCATTACAGGCCATCACAATGACGGTCACATCGGACTCCCAAATCATTCTCCAGAAGTCAACCAAAGTGTTGGGAAGCGGTCCCTGACTGGCGATGTAAGTGCGCGCACAGCCCGACGAGCCCTTCACGTAATTGGCGTTCATATAGTCAGATCCGGGAACACCCGGGTATTCCTCCAGAATGACACGGCTGTGATCATCTGTGTACACATCAAGACATACAATCAGTCATACCATTCAACACATCATCATATCTCAGGTCTCATTACACGGAAGAATATCTTTGTATCTGTTTTTGCGTCGATTCACGTCATTCTCGCCCTCAACTGATCCGCAGTTGGGATCAGTCTTCAGCGATTCGGTCAGGTCTTTGAGTGTTTGAAACTCTTTGCGGTACTCATCGATGCACTCATCGTTGGTGTCATCACTCAGTCGATGTCTGCACTCAAGTCTCTCGAAGTCGTTGAGGAAATTACGTAAAATCGATTTCAAACGATTAGATTTGACCATAACTTGCGATTCACGGCACAGAAGTCACCATCAATTGTGCCAAAGAGTGTCCAATGAGTCCAATGAGTGCCAAACCTATCATTCAATCAACACATCTCTGCGAACGTAAACAATAGACAATCGACTCATTCGTCCGTTCAGTCAAACAGTCAATCAGTTCTCCATTTATGACATTCCAGTCATTCCTTCAGAACATCTGTTCACGCATTACGTGACACTCTCTCCCACTTCACTGCCCCTTCACTGCCCCCTCTCACCACTGCTCCACTCTATCGTACCGTTCAGTGCATACGCTGAGAGAGTAATGTTGTATTTG